ACATAAATTATGCTATCCTCTTTCGATGGATAGCATTAAAAGAATCAACCCGGGTTTTCTCGTACATTTCAGAGGCGCTACAATAGCGATTAAATCCCATTACAAGTCTAAAAATATTATATAAGTCACCCGTATACTATCATGTATTTTCTTGGTATAGTCTACCCAGAGTTGACACGTATAAAATGATTGGCAGAAAGATCTAAACAGTGTAATTTTCACGTCCGGCGACGCCTTGCAGAATTTTCGCGCAATCATATTGCCTACTGCACACAGAGATCTACGTTGACGTTCCACATCCGTGTCATCTTTTAAGTCTGAAGTAACAATATGGCCAAGATACTTGAACTTGTCTACTATATTAATAAATTTTCCATTAAGACGAATCTCAGGCATGCTCTGAGGTAACTTCCCTGATCTGAAAATCATTATTTCTGTCTTTTTGGAGTTGTAAGTCAAATTATGTTCTTCCGCGTATCTTTCACAGATTTCAATTAATTTTTTCAACCCTTTAATCGAGGGACTGAGCAGCACCATATCGTCAGCATAGCTCAGACTGTTAACATATCTGTCGTCCAGTCTGAGCCCTACCGGGGAGCTGCTCAGCTCCACGATTAAATCATTCATATAAGTATTGAAAAGATCAGGTGAGGTAACACCCCCCTGTCTCACGCCACAAGAAAGCTTATAGCAATCCGATATTTCACCACCCCACCTAACTTTGTTGGTCTGATTACCGTACCAGAACGCTAGGAGATCAACAACCTAAGACGGGACAACTTTGCTAGTGTAACGGAGCTATTTCCACAGCATTCCATGACTAATTGTATCAAAGGCACGACTTAAATCAAGAAAACAAGCGTATACAGTAGTATTCCGCTGCTTATAATAACTTATAACTTGCTTTAGAGAAAATATAGCCATATCTGTTGATACATTCAGACGAAAACCAAACTGCCCATCATCGTAATTTATGGAATTTAAGTATAAACCAGGGTCACATTGGGTAGCTTTATATATCGATACGAATGACGTCGGTAAATATTTTGATTCATATGGACGGTCACCTGTACGATATCATCTAGAGTTTTTTAAAAGGAATTGTAAAAGATGGAACTGGAATGTTGATAGTATTAAGAATGAGTGGACTTCAGTTTGTGGCGAATATTGCTCAATGTATTTGCTATATAAGTTTCAGGGATGTTCAATGAATAGTTTTACGAGTATATTTACAGGGAACACATTGTACAATGATATTTTAGTAGATGAGATGTTTCGCTCCTATTTTATAGACAATAAGTAATAAGATTTTGTATTTTGTAAATATAATTGTAACAAAATTAGGTAATTGTGTGTGTAAAAAATAGACAATGACGGTATTCAATGAACAATAGATAAATAGATAAGAACAATGGGGCGCTAATGACGATGGAGGCCCTCACCGGATATCAATTAGATAAGAGTTAATTGATCTGCACATCTCCGGAAACGTACATCCTACGCAAAAACGGACCGCAGATTCGTGATCAGAGCATGCCAAAACTTTTTTTTTTGTAGGATCGTGAGTCGACGAACGTTGTACCACTTCTGACTCAGTGAGCCAGAAGTGGTACTACCTATCTACTCGTAACTGTACATTGCCGGACATGGGATTCTTCCGTTATAATGACCGTCCATTACTAGTACTGAGATGTGTTAGTATCAAAATGCAGATCTGTTGGTGCTGTGGCGACACGATTAAGAATCAATATTCAGGTAGAAACAGAAACAGAAACTTTTTTATTTAATGTAGATTATAAACAATACTTATTGAAAGTCAATTTTTTCATTTACCACTGGTTCGCAAAAAACACCTCTGTCCTGGGAAGAACCAGCAAGAAACCCAACGGGACTATTTTTTTTTTTTAAATAATAGCTTACAATCATGTTTACAATTAACAACCCAAGACAAATTAGAAATAGCTTGGTAGTGATTACCCTGCCCAGAGGTTATTATCATCCATAAATTCCTTAATATTATAATAACCCTTTTTATACAAACTTAGTTTAATAAAATTTTTGAACTTTGCGTATGACAGATTTTGTAAATTTTCTGGGATTTTGTTGTAAAAGCGTATACATCGCCCCAAGAATGAATTACTGACTCGGTGGAGTCGAGTAACTGGTACTACTAGCTTGTGTCTGTTCCTAGTACTTACAGAATGAATATCACTTATTTTTGCAAAACTACGTTTATTCTTGTGTACGTACATTACATTTTCATAAATATATTGAGAGGCCAGAGTTAATATATTAATTTCCTTAAATTTTTGTCTCAGTGACTCTTTTGGTTTTAAATTATATATTGCTCTAATGGCTCTCTTCTGTAAAATAAAATAATTTCAGTGTCAGTCGCGTGTCCCCATAGCAAAATACCATACGAATAATGCTATGGGAATAACTAAAGTAAACTATTCTTGCTGTTTCAACACTAGTAAGAGTTCTAATCTTTTTTACAGCATATGCTGCAGAACTAAGTCTGCTAGCTAGTTTTGATATATGGGGGAGCCATTGAAGTTTTGCGTCCAGTGTGATTCCAAGAAAAATGGTGGTGTCAACAAGACTCAGTTCTTCCCCATTTAAAATTACATTCGTATTAACATGTTTGACATTAGGAGTTACGAATTTCATACATTTAGTTTTAGTTCCATTTAAATGCAAATTATTAACAATAAACCAATTGACTACCTTAGCTATAGCATTATTTACTTCGTCGTAATTTAATAACTGTCGTTTAAATTTGAAAATTAATGATTATCATCAGCAAATAATACTATATCATGGTTATCCCCTACTATGTAAGGTAAGTCATTAATATATACAAGAAACAGAAAGGGGCCGAGAATTGTGCCCTGAGGCACGCCCATTTGTACAGTCGACCCGGAAGAACTTATACTTTAATTACAACTTTTTGCGTTCTGTCACTTAAATATGAAATAATTAATTTAAGAGCATCACTTCTTACACCGTAGTGTTGAAGTAGGACTTCATAGGCGTGATTTTACCGACAGCTGTCGCAGAGATCAAGCTATCTTTTATGAACTATAGACGTATTCGTGTAGACTATACTTATAGTTGCATGTATTGCGTAGACAGAGAAACCTATTGACAAATTGACGCCTTCTTTCGTATTCGCACACGAAAAAGATAGATTTATGCTATCATTAAGCTACTATTTTACGCTGATATTCTGTGAGAGCGTGGTCCTTCCCCGATCGAGCCGACCCATTCGTGCTACAACTATACTTCTAATATAACTGCATGGTTCTACCACATATAAACAACATGCTTATTTTTTCATTTTCAAATTGTTCTCGTAATAATCTGATTGTAAATAAATGTTCTTTAATTTTTTTTTGATAAACTGATTATCGATTAAAATAAATGTTTAAAAATAATTAAATCGCGCTTATTACAAACAGTCCCGGATTACAATACAGACCCGGAACAATTATGTGTATGCAAGGTCATGCATATATACTCATGTTAGTGTTATGGAAGACTGGAGTTTTCTAACACAAGTTATTATATCTAAAAGAAGACCACATCCCCGGTTATATTGTTTGTACGATCATTTACTGAATAAACTGTTTTCATTTTATTTATGTTTTGTTTTAGAACTTAAGCTTTTAAGGTCGCGGTTCTTACACTAAATAATCTCGCGTGCATGATTAGCCGCGTACTGATTGAGCCAGCTGCCTCGCGAGGCTGCCTCGGACATTTGCCGCAGTACGCATGCCGCGCGAGGCGGCCTCGGTCTGTAAGTTTTCTAATCTGAGACTGCCTCGCGCGGCAAGGCCGAGCCACCGTGAGCATCGACGCTCAGTTTAACTTGAAGTCGAATAGAGACCTCGCGTGCGTATAGTTTGCCCGAGACCACCATGAGGCCGCACATTCGGAAAGCTGTCGCTACCACTGCCTTTTTAATAATTCTAAGGCTTGCAAAAAAAAAAGAAAACAGAAAACTGAACGTTTTTGGATTAAACTCTTATACAAAAATAGATTACATGCTGGGAACAGATTGTTTGAAGAGTTGTGCTTCGATGACGAAGAAAAAAATTTCACTCGAATGATTAAAATCGAATTTGACAATGTGCATTCTCTCATAAACGCCAAAATAAGCAAGAAGGACACAAATTTTCGAGAACCAATATCCTCTACGGTAAGATTATTAGTGACGTTGAGATTTTTGACCACAGGAGATTCTTATACCAGTCTACAGTATCTATTTCATATATCAAAACAAAGGATATCGGTTATAGTTCCTGAAGTCTGTGATGCTATAATTGAGGTGTTAAAGGATTATGTTAAGGTAAAATAAAATTACATATTTTCATTATTTTTTTATTAGTCAAATTTGAAAATTGGACGAATAATATAATAAAATTAAACAAACAAATATTTAATGATGAAGAGCTCGAGAAGGAGGAGGGGGAGACATTGGTGAGGCAGCAGGCATCGGTGAGGTAGGAGGCATGGGCGAGGCAAGAGGCATCGGTGAAGTAGGAGGCATCAGTGAGGTAGGAGGCATGGGCGAGGCAAGAGGTATCGGTGAAATAGGAGGCATCAGTAAGGTAGGAGGCATGGGCGAGGAGAGGCATCGCTGAAGTAGGAGGCATCAATGAGGCAGGAGGCATCGATGAGGCAGGAGGCATCAATGAAGTAGGAGGCATCAGTGAGGTAGGAGGCATGGGCGAGGCAAGAGGCATCGGTGAAGTAGAAGGCATGGTGAGGCAGCAGCCATCGAAAATGTAGATGGCGTCGATGAGGAAGAGGGATGAGACATATATCTTAAATTGTCGTGTTCACCATATGATTGAGTATAATAACCATAACCACTGTATGCTCCCATGTCTGCATCAAAGATAATTTTATTTATTGAATTTTTTACGTCTGCTAATGTAATTTTATCATATTTTCTCAACTCATTTCGTATATATTGGCCATACACATTATAGGGATCATTTTTTCCGATATTTTATCGCTTGCACATTGTTGTAAAAGTGTTCAGATATGGCGTTATCAGCAAAATCATCACTTTCGTTCATTTTGGATCTCTTTTTAGGTCTAGTTGACTTTTGTTTAGGTCCTTCCGTTATCGTCGAGTTTGAAGTTTCATTTCTTTCTTCGTTATGACCGTCATCATTTCGAGTATTATCCAGACTTGCATTCTGTAAAGATAGAAATTATTACTTAATTTTATTTACAGATACCATCATCCGAAGAAGAGTGGCTTACCATAGCGAAAGAGTTTGAGAGCAAATGGAATTTCCCACATGTCATAGGAGCAATGGTTGGGAAGCATGTTATATTACAGTCGCCGATAAATAGTGGCAATGATTACGACTGTTACAAAATGTTTCCAAGTATAGTGCTGTTTGCTTTAGTTGACGCTAACTATAAATTTCTGTACGTAGACGTTGGCAGCAAGGGACGTATATCAGATGGCGGTGTGTTTAAAAACACCAATTTATATAAAAAGGTCGAAAAGAAGGAATTGAACATTCCTCCGCCAGAAATATTACAAATACCGTATAAAATTGCAGTGCCCTATTTTATTCTAGGCGATAAAGCTTTTGCTCTCAATGATTACACATTGAAACCTTATGAAGGTACTCCAGAAAGAGGTTCAATCGAAAGGATTTTCAATTACAGGCTGTCCAGAGCAAGAAGAGTGGTGGAGTATGCCTTTGGCATTTTAAGCTCCGTTTTTAGAGTACTGAGGAAGCCGCTACTATTAGAACCAGAAAAAGCTACGAAAGCCGTATTTACTACCATATACTTATATAACTACTTGCATAGAGATCAAGCTTCCTCACAAAGGTTCACTCCCCCAGGATCATTCGATGCCGAAGTTGAAGGGACAGTAATACCCGGCCGATGGCGACAGGATACAGAAATCTCATCAATGCTATCTATTCAAGCCATACTACGGCGATGATCAACAAATATAAAATAAATCTGAAGTCTTCATAGGCATACCAATTCGAAACATATATTTCACCACGACCTGCAGTATAAAATAAAAAAAATATTAGAAATTATATAAAAACCAGTGTATTTTTGGATATAATAAAATAAATGTTGTTAACCTTAATCATAAATATTAAATAATAAATACCTGATGATCCTGTGATTCGGCTTTTTTTTCTCTCGACTTTTCCCTCCTGTAAGACCCTAGTAAACAGTCCATTTTTTTCTTTAATTCAGCTAATGGAAGGATCATTTCCTGGCTTATTTTTCTCTATGCATCTTCCCTTAGTCCTCTATTTGTGTAATCAGGACATTGCGCATCCCAAAGTCGTCTATATTCACCATATAGTTGTATTAATTTAAGACACTGTTCTTTATCCATGACGCGCAACTAACACGCAACGAATAAGCGAGGCGAAATACTACCGTCTTGGGTGAGCGCGGCAAACGTACTGAGGTGCCTTTGAGCATCGACAAAAACCGACAACGCTCGGCTCGGGCCGCGGCACGCTCGGGCGAGGCAGCGCGTGCGTTTGCCTTGGGCGAGGCACGTCTTGACCGAGGCACCGTCGCGAGGCGTTTTCACCCAGGCAAAACCGGGATACTATTCTTTTTTTTGTTATTAGATAAACGTTACGCCTACACTAGGATTTTCTTCTGTATCGTGGAAGCAGTTTACAACATAAACTGCACAAGGACAAACATCTAGACCCGGTACAATTATTTGTAGTCCATACAAATTCTTGTTCTGTGCGCAATTTGAACCTGCAGCCCCCAGCGCTGTAACTCGTTGCGCGGCACTTTATGAAGCCATCTAACTCTCTTAATATTACATATTACTCCTTTAACATATCTCTTGCGTGTCCTGGCTTTATAGTCAGGAATTTCTTCTCTACATGCACACGTAAAAACAACTCTTGTAGCTGTGTCGTCTTCAATTGGACTGTGAGTTCAATTGAGTTTGAGTGTGACCTTGTCGTCACCGTATACAGAATATAAAGACCGATATCGATTGCGTACTCGGCATTGCTATAAAACCATTTAATACATCCTACTTCGACACGCAGGCTTGACATAACCAATATTTCCATATAATAACAAGTTTGTACACAAATATGCTTAAGAATTTGTGCTATTGAAAAAGAATTTTTTTTCTTATCTTCATTGTTTTCTACTTTGTCCTTTCACGGTGCAACGGAGCAAAAGAATGGCATGGTTATGGTATTTTACTTACTACTTTACTTTACTTAAGGTAGGCTACTTTTTATCCCGGAAAACGCACGGATTCTGTAGGATAGATCTGGAGTAAAATTCTGTGATTACGTATTTATGCTGTCTTGTCTATAACACATTTGTTGTGATTTTTCAAAATTATATCATTATCCGACCTTCACGCAAGCGAAGCCGCGGGTTAAAGCTAGTATAAAATTAATGAATCCTGTTCGGTGTTCTGTACACTTACAAATTAGCATTTTCACTGTCCGATTTTCGGACAAAATAGTTAAACACTAGCAATGAACTATATGGAGTATAAGGGACAGCGAAAGGGTTAATGAAAGTGAGCCGAAGTAAAACACTAAAAAAGGGAAAAACGCCCGTTTTAAAATTTCACAGTACGTGAGCAAACCGAGTTCAATTCCCAACGGAACTTCATGAGGTGAATTACTACTTGCTAAGTAGGCGATGTTGTTGAAACCTGCATGTCTGAATGAATATATGAATAATTTTGAGAACACATGAAGTCAAAAAAACAATCGATGGAGCAGCACGGCGGATTCTACTGAGCCTTAAAGCACTTACGAAATACTAGGAGACTGTGCCCAGCTGTGGCACGTATAGAGGGTGGTTACTTTATTTTAATTTATAAAAAAATAAAATGAAATATTACTATTAAGTCATGATTATATTTGTATTTCAACTATCATTGTGAATTAGTACTTAATGAAATTTTTCGAAAAACCGAACACCATTTGAATAGAGCGTAAGTCATATTATGAAAACCTTTTTTACGATTTTCAATATTGATAGTTCGGAAGATATAAGATAGAAAAAGTTAACGCACAAGCATAAAGTTATACCTAGCGACCCTAACCCACCCGTACTTATCTTGACCACAATGAATTCTTCAAGCGTTAGAGCGGAACTGAGATACGAGCGCCACAAAAAGTTTTGAAACTTAAAGAAACTATTTTCGAAATACTTTTTCCAATTCATCTCAGGTACCTTTTCTAAGGCCAGCTCGAACGCTCCTACCGTATCTTTCGACATAAGAAACTGTCTCCCTTCATCTTATTTTTTATTTAAGAGAAAAAAAGAAGTCACACGGTGCCAAATGAGGATTAGAAAAAGGGTGACTCAATATTTTAACCGGTGTACTACCTAGGAAGTACCTGGTTTTACGCGGGCGCGTTGTCATGGTGAAGCAGTAGCTCGCGAAATCTCGTGTTGGATCGCTCGCTGCTCACAGTAGTCAACATTTCTGGCAATTAAAGAGTAAGTAAGTAAGTAAAAAACTTATTACGTGACCGACGAAAGTACATTTTACCACCTTTTTATTAACTTCCTGTTTTGTCTTTTCGGTATAAATATTGCAATTATTGATTTGCCTGTTGAGCAATAGACTAAACTTTAAAAACAGCTCAATACTAGGTAACAATGCAATATAGAATCACCGTTTTGTCTGTCCGTTCGTTTGTTTTTTGGTACATATATTTCAATCGATTTTAAACTAATTTAATGAGCTAGAGACGTAAAACTTAAGAGTTCGGAACTGGAGTCGTAGCAAAAAATATTCGCCATTTTTAAATTATCATTATTTTAATTAATCACGTATGACGTTTGTGAGTAAAACACATTTGTATGAAATTATTTTTACTTTTAATTAATCGTATTTTCCAAAATAGATTATTACTGGCCAGTGCCTCATACAATAAAAAGCTTAACAGAATTGCAGAGACACGGATAAAACTACAAATGCATCATAGCAAAACCAGAAAACCAAGGAGAAATAGATTTTTATTCAATATAGATTACCTACATATAATATTTATGTATTGGAAGTCATTTTTAACTTTAAGTTTCAATAAATATCTATGTCCTGGGAAAAACCAAGAGGAAACCCAGTGGCACTTTAAAAAAAAACAGTATATGAGAGTAATATGTGGATAGTCAGGTATGTGTCAAGTGTCAACCCATCGACAGGTGGCATACGATGCCACCTGTCGATGGGTTGAAACCAAAAGCAACCACCACCAATGCTGTACGTCTCTCCCTAGATAGCCATTAAAAGCTCTTTTGTGTATGTGTATTGGAACATGCTTCCAAACCATTCTTTTCCGTCAAATTCCATCGTTATCAATGGGTCACTTATGGTTTTCCGTTCTGTGCTAATATGTTTTATGCTATTATAATAATTACTTTTAAAAATGATAAAAAGGGGATAATATTTAAATAAAACTAGTTTCACGGATTTATGTATGGCTGGGTGCTAAGCTAAGCTAAAAATTAAATCCCAACCCAAGCATGCAACTGCAAGACTTCAAGAAGATACTATAAGTACCTACATACTGTGTAGATCGGAACAAAAATTAATAATTTTAATTTGGAGATAGCCGTGTTTAACTATGACTTTGGGACGCCGAACACCTCAGTCTCCCCCGTGACCATGGCTGCTGTAAAGTGCTCGAAACGTCGGGACTATAAAATAAGTTAATTATATGTGATTAAATCAGTAAAAACGGGTTTTATTTAAATGTTTATTGTTCGCGCAAATATGAGAAATAAAGTGTGATATAATATCTGCGCAGTATCTTTCGCAGTTTCTTCTCCACGGTAGTAGATTTAAAAAAAATAGATTTGACAAAGGAAATTTCTTTTCTGACATTGAAGAAATAGATATATTTCATTTACATTATATTAGATTACATTACATACATACATTAACCAGTAAGAAATATGGTTAAATCAAAGATTTTAAAAAACCGATTTCGTATAAAGTTAACTAAAAAGAATAAAAAATTATATCCTATGTCGCTTAAACAACTAAGACTCGCTCGCCAGCGATACTCCATCTATTAAAATTCATTAAGCTATTCAAGCTACAGAGCGTGCCAAAGAAAGAAAAGCTACATACTCGATAAACATTACCCTCCTTCTGGGGCAGTCGGGTAAAAAGGATTTGGTTCTCTACACTTACCATACCAAACACAGCAGAATTAAGCTGCTATTGTACGCTAGTATTCTCTCAGGACGTGGTATGTCCCCGGTCAAGCCGACCCTTCCTGCAGCCTGACTCTACCACGTTAAACCTAATCGAATAATTATTGTCACATCGGATAATCTATTTCCCTCACTATACACAGCAGCATTATGTTACCATTCTGTGCGAGCGTGGACCTTCCCCGTTCAAACCGATCCATTCATGAAATTCAAAGCCATTATACGTCTGTAACTTGGCTTTTTAACGTAAATAAGTTAGTAAAACAGTCTTATGCCATTAAATTTTCTTTACAAGCCCAAGATAGATCGTTAGCATGCTCAAAAATGTGTTCTGATCACGCAATTTCGTCGTCTAACTCTTCAAACGGCGGCCCAACAAAATTCATATCATATTGCCATTTCAAGGACGCAAGTTTTCCCTTTAACAACAATGACAATAACTGACTTAACGTGAGTAATCGTGGCTTATGGTGCCCTGGTACTTTGCATGTTTATATTCTGTGTCCATTGTCTTGTAATATATTGTATAATAAATATTGTTTGTGTGAAAAAGAATTGATGGTGTAATTGGATCATTGTCTTGATATTTATAAAAGATAGAGACGCAATATATCATGTTTCCTCATTGCGAGACGCCGTTTAATTATTATGGTTTTAAAAATAAAACACATGTTTACCGTTACCGTTACCGTTACGTTACAGCCTATTAAAGTCCACTGCTGAACATAGGCCTACCCTATAGTAAGAGTTGGCATTCGCAGTATTTTTTATTTTTAGCCATTCTTATGAAGGCGCTGCTGCCCATATCCTGATTTGTTTCCCTCTGTCGCCTTTACGACACCCACAGGATGATATGGGATAGTGAATACTAGTGAGTCTTACACCGCACTACACGGTTACATCAGTGAAAATGATACGGTCTGGTAGGCTAGGCTGGCTTCTTTTATTTTTCAAATGAGCAAATAAATATAAATCAAAAATAGTCACGTCATAGGTGCGGGA